GGTGGTTGTCCTCGGGTGTTCCGTTGAGATCGTCGGGGTGGCGAGGGCAGAGCCGCTCTGGCTTTCAACCTCAGGTCCCTCGGGACCACAGCCCACCCTATCATAGGTGCCTCTAAGGCGGGTGGTGCACTTGGAGCCTCAGCCGCTAGTTGCGGGTATTCGGGCAGGGACGGAGCAGGTTTCGATGAGCACACCCGTATTGGTCCGGGCTTCCCTTCGGGCCGTACAGAGTAGACGGGGCATCAGGCCCTTGTCGTTGTTCCACCACATATGGCGTCGACTCCCAGCGGCACTGAGCTTCCCTTTCCTGGGCGCCGTTGTCCCATACCAGCACTCGCTCCCCAGGTAACAAAGGGGCCTCTCGGGCAGTCCGGTCGTATAGTCTCTTATTCTTGGCGCTGCTGTACTCAGATGGTCTGAGACTCGTCGGTAGGCATTGAGCAGTTGGTGGTGGTGCCGATTTACCCAGTCAGTGGTACTATACCCTCTTTCCACAGCCTCGGTCCCCATGAGCAAGTCCACAGGCAAGCGGAGGTGGCGCCCAAACATAAGGTAGGAAGGAGCATAACCGGTGACACTGTGCACACTGTTGTTGTATGCTTGTAACAGCGAGGGAAGACTCTCGGCCCATTGGCCCTGTTGTTCACTCTCTAGGGTCCCCAGCAACCCCAGCAAGGTCTGGTTGAATCTTTCGCACCCTCCGTTACCCTGAGGGTGGTATGAGGTCGTATGGGTCTTTCGGCACCCATAGAGGCGGCTCAGCTCTTGGATGACCCGGGACTCGAAATTTGAACCTTGGTCCCGAGTGTAGGGTTTCTGGGCAGCCAAAAGGTTGTATCACTGCTCTCCAAAGGGCGTTGGCTGTGGTAACTGCCGTTTGATCGACGGTGGGGACGGCCCAGGCATATTTAGTAAATAGGTCCGTCATGACCAGAATATTCTGGAATCGGTCTGTTGGTCGACCCAGAGTCAGGAAATCTATCCCTACGATATGCAGAGGTGCTTTCGGTCGCAGGGGGACCAATGGGGCTCGGACCTCCTTCCTGCGTTTGAACAAGGTACACCGTGGGCAGCTCTGAACAAATTCCTCAACTTTCTTTTCCATCCTAGGCCAGTGGAAATACCTCCTCAGCAGGGACAGTGTCCTCTCTTGGCCCTGATGACCAGTATGGGTGTGATAGGCATTCAACAGCTCCGAAACTTGGCCCTCTGGTACAACAACTTGGTGTACAGTCTCCTGTGTGCGGGGATCCCGTCTTGAACGACAATTACTCCTTCTCGGAGTTGCAGCCTCTTCCACTGTCTCAGAAGCTGTCGTACCCCACCGTCTGAGACCGTCTTTCCTCTGCCCTCGGCATGTTTCCCTGTCGGAGGTACAACAGGAGCTGACCCAAATCCGCATCTCTCTGCTGCAGCTCTCTCCACCGTCCGGGGTCCCACCCCCAACTAGATGGAACAGACTCCGGGGCCCCGGGAGCTTCCACCACGGCCACCAGCAGCTCATCTTCGGTACCAAGGGCACCGAGGGGTGCTTGATCGTCCCTCTGGGTGGCTGGGAGTCTGGACAGGCATCTGCATTTACGTGCTCTCTGCCGGGACGGTATTTTAGCTGGTAATCATAATTTGCTAGCTGTGCCACCACAGCGCTGCTCCACTGCCCCCAATTTAGCGGATTGCAAGTGTACTAAGGGATTGTTGTCTGTAATCACCGTTACCTTGGCTCCCCACAAGTAGTCTTTAAACTTCTCCGTCATGGCCCACTTCATCGCCAGTAGTTCGATTTTAAAGGAGCTATAGTTTGCAGCGTTTCGTTCGGCGGGATGTAAACTTCGACTTGCGTAAGCTATCACTCTCTCCACTCCTTGATGCTCTTGGGCCAGCACGGCCCCCAATCCTGCATTGCTGGCGTCAGTGTACAGGAGAAACGGCTGGGTGAAATCTGCATAGGCTAAGATTGGGGCCTTCAGGAGTTCCTGTTTAAGGTTCTGGAAAGCGGTCTCACAGGTGGAATCCCAGTGTACTGAGGGGGAGCCTTTACCACGGGCACGTCCAGTGCCAGCCAAGAGTTGGTTCAGTGGCTTAGCAAGCCCAGAGAATCCCTTTATAAAGCGACGATAATATCCCACAAAGCCCAGGAACGACCGCACCTGTCTTACTGTCCGGGGTGGCTCCCATCCTTGGACCGCCGCCACCTTCTCTGGGTCAGGGGAGATCCCTACAGCACTGACGCGATGTCCCAAGAACTGCACCTCTTTCCGCAGTAACTGGCATTTTTCCGGCCTAAGCTTCAGCCCATATTTCTCCATGGCCCTGAAAACTCCTTCCAGATGATGCAGGTGAGTGTGGAAATCAGGGGAGAAGACGATCACATCGTCTAGGTAGACCAGCGTTGAGTCGACTAATTGTCCTCCTAGGCAGCGCTGCATCAGGCGTTGGAAAGTCGCAGGAGCGTTGCACAGACCGAACGGCATACGGTCCCATTCAAATAACCCAAACGGGGTGGTGAAAGCTGTCTTCTCCCTATCTCGGTCATCCACCTGCACCTGCCAGTATCCACTTGCCAGGTCCAATGTCGAGTACCATGCCGCTTGGGTAAGACTGGTGAGTGAGTCTTCAATCCGTGGCAACGGGAATGCATCTTTCTTCGTTACACTGTTAAGTTTGCGATAGTCGACGCAAAACCTCCAGGCTCCCGTCTTCTTCTGCACCAGAACGATGGGCGCAGCCCAAGGACTACTGCTTTCTCGGATGATTCCTCCCTCCAGCATACCTTTCAACAGGGTGCGGACCTCGGTATAAAGAGTGGGGGGCACCGGACGGTACCGCTCTCGACTAGGCGTCGCCTCACCAGTGGGTATTTGATGCTTCACCACCCCTGTGCAGCCATAGTCCTCTTCATGTTTTGAAAACACATGTTGCCACTTCCTCAAAAGCTCCTGAAGCTGTACCACTTGCTCCTCTTCCAGATTCTCACCCTTCAGGGACTCTCCCATCAGATGGGCCGGCATCCCTCCTCCAACCGAACCCAGTTCTACCTCGACAGGGCGGACGGCAACTTCCACCACCGCAGGGCTCACCTGTCTGAAGCAGACAGCTTGGTGCTCGTGCACCTGGGCAGGACGTACCGAGGAAACTCGGGCCAGACGTTGGTGTCGACGAAGGAGCACTGGGTAAGGATTTGTGTTCCGTACTTTTACTGAGACTCGCCCCCGATGGACAACCGCCAGTCCGTGAGCCACTTCAACTGGCTGACAATCTTCGTGAGGCTCTACCAGGACACAGGTGCCTGACCCACGGGGTCTTGCGGGTACTCGGACCCAAAGAACGGTCTCACTCTGAGCTGGGATGGACAGAGCATACCTACAGGCAACTCGACCGATGTCTTCCCTCTCTTCTATGTGATTAGCTGCGTGCACTCTTTTACAATCGGCCAGAATTCGGTCCCAGTCCTGTTTTGCCGGTGACGGAGACATCCGAGCCGGCGGCCCCCGAAACAATTCTTCCCAGCAATCCAGTATAACGTTCATCCCTAAAAGTGCTCGATGATTTCCCAAGCAATGATCTCGGACAATAACTACCCCTTTTTGTTGGACGGGGACCCCTCGGACAAGAAAGTCTACCACGATGTACCCCGTGTAGGGATGTCCAAACCATTAGCCCCCCGTAGGGTCAGCCTGGAAGCTTCAGTTGCTTGGAGCCGATGATCTGCGAACAACTCCTGGGCCAGGCTCTCCGAGAATAGCGTAACTTGAGACCCTGTGTCAACCAAACAGTCTATCGTGACTCCATTAGCTTGAACCTCCACGGTAGGGCAATGTCCCACCCAGTCATCTCGTGCAACAGGAACAGAAAGAGGGTCACGCAAAGGGGTCCCGGCCACTTGACCCACAGTGGCCGGTGGAACTAAAAACCCCCTTGAGAACCCCGACGAAGCCCACACTGGCGACTGATATGTCCAGGATCTCCACAATTTATACAAATGGGCCTTCCTTGGTCGTCCCACTGGAACCGGGGGCCCACAGGACGTAGGGGGCGGCGCAGAGGACCTCGCCCTTCCTCTGAATACGACCTCTCTCGCCCCACTGCTCCGCCTTCAACTCGCCCTCGACGAAGCTCACCAGCAGGTTCCGGGATAATTCCGCCATCTGTCCCTTGACATCCTCCAACAGTTCGGCCCTCAGTTTCTGTTTCCAATCGCTCGGTTCGACAGGCGCAGGTCCACTGGCACTACTTGCTGCCACACAGACTGGTGTGCGAGTTACCTCTCCCTGGTCCAGTTCTAACGCCAAGGCCTCTTGTCGCAGAGCCTCAAAGGTCATAGTGGGGTCTCGTCGAAGCTGGAGTCGTATGCCCTGACGTACTGGCCCTTCACGCAGCCCCAAGACGAATTGATCTCGTAACAAGTCATCCCCTTCACCCAGTCCATGGTCCGGTCGCCCCTTCAGCCAGCCAAACTGCTCCCGCAACTTCAAGGAGTATGCCCGAAGTGTCTGCGTAGGCCCCTGTTTATAGTTAAAGAACTGGGCACGAAGAGTGGCCACTGGGATGAAGTCTCCATATAATCCGAACAAGAAATCGAAGATAGTTTTTGCGGTAGCACGTGTGGCTTCCGATGCAGCCAGAACTTCCCTTTTGGCTTCTCCTTCCAGCGACCCCAACACAAACTGTACTCTCTGTGCTGCACTCAGTCCCTGTAGTCCAGCCAGATACTCCGTCTGCGCCTTCCAATCCTGTAAGCTTAACTCCGATCCCGGTCCTCCATAGCGCTGCGCCCAGGGAGCTCCCATGAAGATCGGCATGACTTGAGGACGAGCCGCAGGTGCCTCTTCGTCCGCCATCGCGTACCTGTGGCCGCTACAACTCACGGTGTGTATCCTGCCGACTACGCCACTTTTGATGTCACAGGTCGAGGGGAGGAACGCTCGGGTGACCAACCACCCCCCCTCTAACTGAGTCACCACCGTGAGGAGCCGACACCACAGGCACACAACAGAGGACCCGGAGACAGAGATAAGTTTCAAAGGAGTAACAATCTTTATTAAACCAAAAGTTTCTCACAGTTCAAGAGACTCTCGTCGATGTACGATGATGGAGCAGGGGGGGGTTGAAGCTTACTTCTCCCCAGCGGTGCTGCAGACTTCCAGACCCAAGAGAAAGTATGTCAGGTAAGGATTCTTCACGGTACAAAGTACTCTCGTTGGTGCACAGTAATGAAGCAGTGGATTAGAAGCTTACTCTTCCCCAGCGGTGCTGCAGACTTCCAGACTCAGACAGTAAGTATGGCGGGTAAGGATTCTTCACAGTACAGAGTACTCTCGTTGGTGCACGATAATAAAGCAGTGGATTAAAAGCTTACTTTCCCCCAGCGGTGCTGCAGACTTCCAGACTCAGACAGTAAGTATGGCAGGTAAGGATTCTTCACAGTACAGAGTACTCTCGTTGGTGCACGATAATAAAGCAGTGGATTAAAAGCTTACTTTTCCCCCAGCGGTGCTGCAGACTTCCAGACTCGGACAGTAAGTATGGCGGGTAAGGATTCTTCACAGTACAGAGTACTCTCGTTGGTGCACGATAATAAAACAGTGGATTAAAAGCTTACTTTTCCCCCAGCGGTGCTGCAGACTTCCAGACTCAGACAGTAAGTATGGCGGGTAAGGATTCTTCACAGTACAGAGTACTCTCGTTGGTGCACGATAATAAAGCAGTGGATTAAAAGCTTACTTTTCCCCCAGCGGTGCTGCAGACTTCCAGACTCAGACAGTAAGTATGGCGGGTAAGGATTCTTCACAGTACAGAGTACTCTCGTTGGTGCACGATAATAAAGCAGTGGATTAAAAGCTTACTTTTCCCCCAGCGGTGCTGCAGACTTCCAGACTCAGACGGTAAGTATGGCAGGTAAGGATTCTTCACAGTGCAGGGTACTCTCGTGGGTGCACGGTAATGAAGCAGTGGATTAAACGATTACTTTATCAGCGTTGCTGTATACTTCTGGGCTCAAACAGTAAGTAGAACAGGTGAGGATATTCACAGTACACAGTACTCTCTCTTCAGTTCACAATAGGGAGACAGTGAATCATAAGGTTACTTTACCAGTGGTGCTGTATGCTTCTGGGCTCAAACAGCAAGTAGAACAGGTGTGGATCTTCACAGTACAAAGTACTCTCTCCTCAGTTCACAGTAGGGCGACAGTGGGTTAAACGATTACTTTATCAGCGTTGCTGTATACTTCTGGGCTCAAACAGTAAGTAGAACAGGTGAGGATAGTCACAGTACACAGTACTCTCTCTTCAGTTCACAATAGGGGGACAGTGAGTCATAAAGTTACTTTACCGGTGGTGCTGTATGCTTCTGGGCTCAAACAGCAAGTAGAACAGGTGGAGATCTTCACAGTACAAAGTATTCTCTGCTCAGTTCACAGTAGGGCGACAGTGGGTTAAACGATTACTTTATCAGCGTTGCTGTATACTTCTGGGCTCAAACAGCAAGTAGAACAGGTGAGGATAGTCACAGTACACAGTACTCTCTCTTCAGTTCACAATAGGGAGACAGTGAGTCATAAGGTTACTTTACCAGTGGTGCTGTATGCTTCTAGGCTCAAACAGCAAGTAGAACAGGTGGGATCTTCACAGTACAAAGTACTCTCTCTTCAGTTCACTGTATCACTCTGGGCTTCTGACGGGGGCAGATATAATAACCTTCCACGAACGTGTAAGCATGGATGGGGGCCACTTCTCAACAAAGACACAGCACACTTGTGTTCACTTCAATTCCACAGCAATAAATCAATGTGTATCAATAAGGCAAAAGCACTGCAATTCACTCACACGATAGGGTTGGACAGAGGCCCCACTCCGGCCGTTGCGCTCGTTTACAGGGTTTCCACTTTTAATTCCTCCTCATCACACTCTGAAACACATAGCTCCTCCAACAGTCAGATCCACATTCACTGTATCCTCTTCAAGTGGTTCAAATGTTCATAAGATGAAAACAATTCACTTATCTTTCCTCTCTCCTTCCACAGCACAGATCCAGCCCTAGCTCGGCCCAGCAGTCTTCCCACAAACGATCAATCTGACCCAGCAAACTCGAATGGGTGATCTCCACACTCCAACGATTTTTCCAAGGAAGCCTGTATCCAGCACTGCCCAGAGTCAACCCTTTGGAATCTTGACACACTGTACACCCACCAACCGCACTGCAAACACTCTCTAAATGCCCCTTTTATATCGTGGCTTATGAAACAGGGAGTCTGTGTGAGTGCCGCTCCTCTCTCTCTCACACCTGCAATGCATTAGCGCTAATCAGTAAGGGCACGTTTCCATCACACCCGGAACCGTAGTGGAGTGTTGCACCCAATACGTTCCCCTAGGAAACTCAGGACTCTCAAGAAGGTTCCGTTTACTGAGCGATTTTGTCACCCGTGACACTAACAGACAGCAGACAAACGACTAGCAGTGAAAGCAGCGGCACCTGTCACTCAAGTGGCCACGCCCTTAATTATGCAGAACGTTAAGGCTTAAATATAATTTAAATAGATGAGTTGTAAAAAAATTCACCCCCCTCACAGTCGTTATGAAGGGCAAAATTAGCGATATAGACCAAAACAACTATTTGCCACCAGGCTGTAAACATGTTTTTTTTCTGCTGTGAAGTTAGACATTTTAACTTGGTGGAGATACAGATTTGACTCACTTTTGCAGCCAGCCTCATGCGGCCACTCGATGACTTGCAGTTCAATTCACTTCCGTGTTGGCTTCAAGAGAGAGACGGGGAGGTTGCCCCTTGGATATTACTGTTTTAAATATGTAAAAGCTATGGGCCCAGTGCAACTTAAGGGGTTAACTGCTGCTATTGTTCTCATTTGATAAAAGCGTCTGCTAAATTAATAAATGTTAATACAAATTAATATTAAAGCCTACAACAGGGCCGTTTAATGCTTGAATCTGATTGGTTGACTAACGTTCTATAATAATTCCCATAATTCCCCCTTCCCATTCTCATGTTCTTTGTTAAGCGTCCTTGGGTACTTTGAAAGGCGCTATATAAATTAAAGTTATTTTTAATATCATCATTCTAAGGTGCACGGCTAAAGTAGTTTCGGCAGGTCTTTACCGCATTACAGCTCCATATCCCTTCGCCTTGTTAACTGTAATAACGGAAAATAGGAGACAATTCATAGCACGAAAAAAAATGCAGTCCCATGTGCTTGATCTGCAATTTTCGATGTCTAACTTCACAATCAATGTAAACATATAGTTTAATTTTAATAAATTAAGTATATAGTCCTATCTATAATTAAACTGAATATTTGAATAAATCGATAGTCCTGCTGCACAGGTTTTTGTAATTATTGCAGATAATATAGAAATGAAATAATTATTGACAGGCCTTTATTAAACGTACAGTATGTAATTTCTGGCCACCAGGGGTCACCCGGATAGCAAACTGACATTGAATCAACGTGGTAATATGACATCGAAACAATGTTGTTCTGACATTGTTTTGCTCATCGAATTAACGTTGAACCAACGTCAGACGCGTCATTCTTTCAAAACTAACGGAAAATCAACTTGAAATCAACGCGTTTTTTCAACGTTATGAAAGCAAACCAATTTTCGA